GGTATGCAAACAGGTTTTTCTGATTTGAATGCTTTTTATTTGTTGTTTGTTTTCTGCAGAATGAGGATGAAATCAATTTATAACCCAATATGCTGAGGCAAGGCCTGCAGACTGAGTTCAAAAGACACACAGTTGTTGGTCAATTTTTGATTGGAATTGGAGGCAGTTAGCGCTAACACAAATTGATTAACATTCTCTGAAATTCTGGACTCATAAAATATAGACATGCATATGATTATAGCGCCATTAATATCAACAAAGATATTTAAACTAGTACTAAAACAAGACTGTCTTCCTGAATTCATTTGAGTAGACTTTGTAAATTATTGGGAACTGATAAAGTAGTGCTCCAGAAAACCTCCTGATAATATTCTGATAAATCCCAAGGTGGGGACAAGGCATCATTTTTTGGTTCTGAATGCTAGATGAAACCTGACATTATTACCCATCACCACTAACTAATCATTATATAATTCTATTTTAAGACTGAAATTAAACCACAGAGCTAATGGTATTGATATTCACCTAATTTGTGGACTGTCTTCGTTCTTCATCTGTTATTGCATAGAGGTCATGTAAAAATATTTATGTGAAAGTTAAAGCACTTTGAAGCATCAAGAACCTTAATATGCCTGCATGTTGCAGCAGGAAAGATATCCTTGGGTTCTCAAGGTTTCATTATTTTATTTCCAAGATCTTTATATTGTATTTCAGCACATTAATGTACCCTGGCAGGTCATATAGGAGATGCTGAACTAATCATTCTGATTAGTCTTATGGCATCAAAATTGGAATATGTGCAATTTTAAAAAATCATTTCCATGCAATGGATGAAAAATGAACCAAAGAATGGAAAGGATGCCTCTCTACTTCCTTTAAAAAAATGTACTACACTTATAAACTAGATATTTCTTTTGACTACAGAAGTTCTGTAAGAGAAAACCAACTCAGCAGGTTTTTCCTTTAATTATAATTAACAGAACTAGCTTGCTGACCTTGCACTTACAAGTATGATGAAGTTCTCTGAGAAGAGAGTTGAATGAATGTTAAGTAAATATAACCAAGTAACTGGAAAAGCAGCAAGAATCAAAATGGATGTATTTTTAACATCAAAACATAGTCATTTTCATTTTCAAACTTTTCTTGCTTGCTGTGTCAAAGAAGTGCTATTATTCTTGAGACCCAAAGGACAATGCAGGTTTAATGGAGCCTTCTCTGAAATCTGCCTGCTGGCTTATGTATTTTACTTTATTATATTGTAGCTATGTGAACATAGTGTACTAAAGCTGTTTTGGAAAAGAAAAAGGCTGGAATAGGTGGGAAATGTCTATGGAGATTCTCAGTCATCCAGGTCATGGTTGTCCCAAAGGTGCTTTTTCAAGAGGCGACTTGACTTTCTGGTTTTTCTTTGGAGATGTTTTGCTTCTCATCCAAGAAGCTTCTTCAGCTCTGGCTGGATGGTGGGGAATGGAAGAATTTATACTCCTTGAAGACAGCTGGTCATTTGTATTCTTTTAGAGGGTCACTGAGGTCACCTGGAGGTTTATTTGTGTTGTCAAAGTCACCTGAGTAATGCAAATGGGTGTGGAGTCTTCTTGGAACTGTGTCGTAGACTGGAGATAGATGATGTTGTGTTCCTCCCCCTCTGTTGAGAGTGGGCTGTTCAATTTTGACATAGATGGCCTCTTTGACCCCTTTTTCAAAACAGCAACCCTCTCTGTCCAAAATATGGACTTTGTGTCTTCAAAAGAGTGGCCTCAAAAGAGAAATCCAGCAGGGCACAATTGAAGCTGTCGTGGTAGTGAAGACATGACTGCTACAAGACAGCACCTTAGATGACAGAACAAACCTCAACCTAGACCACATATGTGCCAGAAGCTTGTCCACCCCAAGGATAAAGCACCCAGACACAAACTGAGCAACATGGTACATGCAGTACAGTGCAGTGAACAATGTGCAGATCTATACATTGGGGAAACAAAACAACCACTTCATAAATGCATGGCACAACATAAGAGAACAAACCTATCAGGACAAGATTCAGCAGTCCATCTGCATTTAAAAGACAAATGCCACTCTTTTGAAGACAACAAGGTACAAAGTTTAGACAGAGAGGCCGCTGGTTTGAAAGAGGGATCAAAAAGGCCATCTATGTCAAAATTGAGCAACCCTCTCTCAACAGACGTGTAGGGATCATCTACCTCCAGTCTACAACACAGTTCTTTCAACAGTTCCAAGAATGCTCCACACCCATTTGCACTACTCAGGTGACCCTGATGACAAAGATAAACCTCTGGGTAGCCTCAATGACTGTCTAAAAGAATGAAAATATCAACTATCTGCAAGGAGTATAAATCCTTCCATTCCCGACCATTCAGCCAGAGCTGAAGAAGCTTCTTGAATGAGAAGCAAAACCAGGGGCGGGTTCCAAATCTCATTGCTATTGGTTCGTTCGTGCATGCACGTGCTCTTGCACGCACACAGGGTGCTTCTACACATGCACAGAAGCGTCCAGGTGGGTGGGCGCAGCCTCCCACCACCACTGCTACCAGTTCGCCCAATCTGGTGTGAACCGGTAGCAACTCACCACTGAGTGAAACGTCTTCAAAGAAAAACCAGAAAGTTTAGTTCCCTCTTGAAAAAACATCTTTGGGACAATATGTGGGACACAACATACCAAAGCTCCCCTACTTTGGACTGGATAAATCTTATCTTCTTGCCTTCTTTCTTCACAACTTGAAAAATAAAATGTATATAATATTAATAATAATATTAATAATCATAATTGGATCCATCAATACTCCATTGATTTTAGTTTCACTTTTACCTTAGTTATAGAGTCTGTATTAATGTAGCCTTTTATATTTTTATAACATTTACCAATTTACAATCTTGAGTTATAGATGTACTCTAATAGGTACCATATTTTTTGGACTATAAGACTCTCCAGACTGTAAGATGGACCTAGCTTTTGGGGAGGAAAACAAGAAAAAAAAATCTGTCTCTGCCTCCCAGCAATTTGCCTCCTTGGAGCAAACAGTAAACAGCCTGGTCAGCTTCAGCAAAGCCCGATTTAGCATGAGTAGTTGATTGGCAGTTGGATCAGCCTCCTGGAATATCACCTATCAGCTCTTCCAGGCTGTGGGGTTCGCCACCGCCCATCGCCACTGTTGCTGCCCATCATGGCTGTCAAGTATTGCCGCCTCTGTGCACCCCAATTTTGGCCTCCACGCACCCCATTTTCGGCCTGTTACAGGTGGCAGAGATAGGTGGCGGTGGCTGGAACAGCTGATAGGCAGTATTCTGGGAGGCAGATCCAACCACCAATCAGCTGCTTGTGCTAAATCAGGCTGTGCTGAAGCTGACCAGGCTGTTTTCTGCAAGGAGGCAAATTGCTGGGAGGCAGAGGCCAAAGGGTGGGGGCCGGCAGGTGGGCGGGACTTCGGCAACATTCTCCGTATAAGACGCACAGACATTTCCACCCACTTTTGGGGGTGGAAAAGTGTGTCTTATTCACCAAAAAATACGGTATTTCACAGGTAAGTATCCTCTGTAATTTTATCCTTGTAATCTACATGATGTTATTAATATTTTATCTCATAAATTTTATCTCACGTGTGGTAATTTTACATGCTATGATGATCTTTGATAAAAATAAATAAAAAGTCTATATCTGTTTCAGACTTAATAAATATCAATAAAGGAAGGTAAATTTCAAAACACTATGCTTAAATCTTGCTACGTATGTCCACAATATATGTTGGCTACATTCTTCTTCTAACTGGTTTTGTCTTAATTCTTTCGCTAATATAATTTAAACCCCATAACCAAGCGTGAGGTTGCAACTTTTGAATGTATAGATAAAATTAGGTATTAAACTTGTCCCAGTGAGATTTCTTTTCCTGCCTACCACATAGCCTCTCTGTTCTGATCCAGATCTGGTCAGTAGGAATTACAAATTGGGTAATGGTGGTGGGGAAATCATCTTCATCTAGTTTTGATGTAAGCAATTGTGTCAGTGAAAAACTTAATCAAATCTCACTCTCTGAGCGCACGTTAGAGGAAAATTATATGTACAAACAGTGGTCTTAATCAAACTTTCTATCTAAAAGCATTTCTGTCTGAATCATTTAATCAAGTTTTGTATCAAGTATTTCTATCTAAACCCTAATTAAAATAATGGGAACTAAATTAATCATAAATATTTTGCTCCACTAGTTTCAGCAAAAGTTAGAACTCTTTAATCTCCCAACTCTTCCAAACTCAGTTTAAAATATACTTGAGACCAAGTCAAGCTGTTTTAAATTATCTACTTTGACAGTAAAATATACATATGTTTATATGATTGTGAGTCTTGAGCTGGCTCCTCTGGTCAATAGCTGAACATAGAAATCTATTAACCACTCAGCCAATCAGTGTTGATTAGCTGTTCTTTTAATTATTGAGTTATTGTGATGTATTCTGTGTTTCGGGGGGCGGGGGAGCTGCACCAAGGGAGGCTCATTCAATCTCATTGTACACATGTTGTGCATTGACAATAAAGGTTTGAAATATAAGTATGAAATATGTTGTAATGGCTGTCCCAATTTCCTAAATACTTTCCTATTTCCTTAGTCTCTTCTGACTATAACTTTGTTGTTAGTATCTCATGATTTATGTTGTTTGCTTATTTAGTATCCTATGATTATTACTTAGTTTGTTTCTATTAATTACGATAATTGTATTTTATAATTATGATCATGATTTATTATTTGTTGCTCATATGTACACTGAGAGTTTATGCACCAGAGACAAATCCCTTGTGTGTCTATTTGGCAAAAAAGAATTCAGTCTGTCTGTCTGTCTGTCTGTCATCTATCTATCTATATCAAGATAAACACACCAAATTAGTAACATTTCCCATGTCTCTTTGTTTGCAATGGTGGCAAACATTGTTTGGTTTACAAATGTCTTACCCTACACTGAGCTCCTTTACTAATCAAGCTCGCATATTGCCAGGGTAGAGTAAGCCGAGAATTACATTTAATTAGAATATAAGACAAATACATTGTAAAGTAGTATTTACTGTCTTGAAATAGCATTGCCCCTTTCATAGATGCAATGTTAATGGTATAGTCAGGTATCAAAATTACAAGTTCCTTCTCATGACATCATGGAATGAACAGAGACTTGTCTCATCCCACATTGAGAGTGGGTCTTTATGAAAAAGACCTCTAACTTCAGTTGGATCAAGACTCAGCAAATATGAATTATGTATTAGAATACTATCAAATGCATACAGTATATTTCAGCTGTGTATATTTTTTTCTCTCTGAATTTCTTGTTTCTTTCATTGAAGAAGGCTTTACATGCAGTTTTCTCCAACCTGAATATTAATAAAAGTGGAAAAAGTATTATTAATATTATTAATTAAATATACTTCTGCTGGAAATCTATTGCCTATATTGGTTCCTAAATGTCTATGGCTTTTTATTGTACCAATAAATGTTAACATTTATGGGTCCTCCACATTAAAAACAGAATGCATATTGTGGGGGGAATGAAAAACTAATTGTTTCTAAGTTTCCTTAGGATTATGTTTTCATCCTATTTCTTATAGGATGAGTCAGCAGTGTGCATTCATATTCTTTGATTAAAAAGCCACCCTTTCCATTTTCTTGAATGTAAAATTTCCGCAAATATAGCACTTGGGACTACAAAAAGAGTATATATTTGCAGCCATAGTGTGAAATGAAAAAGTAGAAGACAAAGAGGTTAACAGCATGCACTAAGGGCAGAGTTGTGGGAAGTATTTGCTCAGTTCCAACTCCTCAAAAAAGATGTAGAGAACAATAGCAGCATCAGTGTTCTCAGCAGGACATCACAAAAGCTATTGCTTCCACATAAAGCCTTATAGGTCAGTTGGGAAGTCACGTATGTTAGATCAATGCAACTGCTCTCCTGTTAGTTTCTGTGATCAGATGGACTTCAATCTAACTGAGTGCATGTCCTTCAGAGTCATGTTGTTGATGCTTCCCCTTTATATTGTGTGGGAAGGAAAAACATAAGACCAAGCATGTATTGAAAATATATCTTTGTGTGTTTGTCTGTGTGTCTTTTTTTTGAACTGAAAATATTTTTAAAAGGGAGTGAATATTTCTTCTTTAAAATGTTAGACTCTGGACACTGTTGAAATATTCATCATTGAAAGGATTCTTTCTTAGCAAAAGAAAGGTGTAAAAATAACAAATGGCTATACTTTTTAAAAATACTTAAGGAAGGAAAATGCACAGACCTGTATATGGATCTGGCTATATGATACTAGTCAATAAATGAAACTGAGAGGGTTATTTTTCATTTTCATGCATATTACTAACGTAGTCCTGAGGCATCTCTCAGCCGTTTTGTGGGGTATATTAAGTAGGAAAGCATCTTTGGCCACTAGGCCCAGGATAGGCAGAAAAAACTTGGGGAAAACAGAGAGTTAGGATATAAAATCTAGTTTTGATCCTTCCAAGGAGGTTGATTCTATGTGTTGAAGCATCTCCATGATTTAGATAGTCACATATTGCTGCTGAACCCCACAGTAATCTTAATTGCCCAATAGGTTAGCACACTTCTCCATTCCTTCTGCCTTTTAATAAGAAGCAAAGCACTTCTTGCCAAGTGCTGGTTTTGCCCTGTTTATTACTAGCTTCTTTCCTTCTTACTAGAAATGTGAGAAACTACCCAATCAAGACTTGTCTAGAGCATCATCATGCTATTTAAGCAATAACTTTCAGACAATGATGTATTATCAAGTAGAAATAAATCCATTTTACTTAAACAAATGAATGCTTTTCAAGGAATGCCAAAATCTTCCAAGTAGGAAATGATGGAATATATGAGAGCTAAACTCTCCTCTGCCCTCATATTTGAAAATGTTGTTGTTTATGGGAACAGTTACAGTTCAGAGAACTGTCAGTGAAAACAATATCGTCTTGTTTAATGTTAGCTGATTAAACCAACATAAATTTAGATCTCCTAACCTAAACAAAAATGGCTGACATTAATAAATATAGAATTTATATAAGTATTATAGTAACAGAGGTCGGCATAGTTTTGTACTAAGAAGTTTTTCATAAATACTTTCCTCAATATCCAGGCCTTAAACTTAATATGCTAAAAATCAATCCATAATTAGACTAACGCATATTAGTGTGTCTTTGCCAACAATCGAGGTGTGAAGCAAGTGGTGGTGCAGAACCAGATAGAAATGGCCGCGGTCTGGTAATTAATGACAAATATAAAAATCAGGGTTCTTTCCTGGCAAACTTGTAGCAGAGATGCAATCAAATAAATATGCAGAATGGATTGCATAAAAGAACATGAGCTACTCATTCTACATCTCTGGACTCACAGACATAGAAAACAAAAATGAATTTCTCTATTAGGAGGAATGAGTGAAAAATACTGAGTGTAAAGTGCCAATAATGTCGATGGATAGAAGATGGGATTCATTTGTTTATTGGGTTTTTATCCCTTCTTTCATTTAGGAGCTCAAGATGGCATGTGAAGGTTGGGTGAGAAAATGTCACTTACCTAAATTCATCCTGTGAGTTTCCATGACTGAGGGTTGACTAGTTGCATGACAACTGTAAGTTGTTTTATGCCCAGCCATTCATGAGTAATCTTTCTAGGTAAAAGAGCAAGTATGATCTAGGACCTGAGGCGAAGATAGCTATGGTGGTATAAATGTGAGGGAAGAATAAAATGATCTACTCCTTCTCTGCTAACTTCTCCATTTCAATGCTGTTTATCAGAACATGCATTTTTAATCTATAGTATTGCTAACATATAACCTAATCTTAGGTTAGATTTCTCCTTCTTTGTCAGTCTTCATGTTCATCTGCATACAATTCCTAATTAGCTATGGTGATCAGATGACTGTTAAGTACATAGGTGAAATATTACCTTATTACCAAACTATTTTGTAGCAATGTGCTTAATTTTCTTAAACATTCTCAATCTAACAAGTTTGGGGCAAAAAATGACTGGAAATAGGTATTTTTCTTTCTAGAAATTTAAGACTCTTGACCATTATAACATAACTATTCCTAACTCATTCCTACTTGTATCCATTTCTGCTGCTATAACACTATTATGATGTCATTAAAATGCATCCCCATGGTTACTGTTGCTATGCAAATTGCTGTCTTGCTTTGAAAGTATTTAATTCACCATTTGTTTTTGTCTTCAGAGGCATAGCTAAAATTAAAATATGTGAAAATTTAAAATTGTTTTTGTTACTGGCTGAACTTGAGAGACCTAGAGAGAATCTGCAACCTGTACTTCTGTTTGTACACCCAAAGCAACTTAGCAGTCTTGCATTTAAAACTATTTGGAACTGGCGGGGGGAGGCAAAACTAAGTTTGGAAATAAGTTTTAAACTCAGTGTTAAAATTGAAAATTAACATTGTACATGATCTCTTAGGGTTGATCCTAATGAAAGTTGACTCCAGAAAGGAAGTATTTTACCTCCCTTAAGACAACTGCAGTGATTTAGTAATATATAAAGGAAGTTCAGGTTTTGTGCCTGATATACCACTCAGATAATTTCTTTTTTAATGTCAAGAAGTTGATGCATATTAAATCAAGGTAAACCAAATGCTGTGTGAACCAGCCATAATTATTCAGTCCCCAACTGTAGAACTATTTTAGGCATCTAGTCATTATTATTGATGACAAATGGAGCAAGCTCTCTAGATCACTCGGAGAACAGCGTAAGCTATTCTGAGTGATTTAGAAATATTGCTGTTAGGGAAATATATACAATCAGCTTTGTGCTTAAAAGTAATGAGGGAAGTTTAAAGAAGAAATCTGCAGTCCTATGGATATTATTTCAGAATAAATTTGATGGTTAATTGCACACACACACACACACACACACACACAGAGAGACAGTATTATAAGTGTCCTATGAAACAAGGATGCAGGTAAGAAGGGGAAGGTGTCAGAAGTAGTATTATAGAATGGTTATACAAGTCCATATCTTTCCTATATGCCTTATAATTTTGCATGCACACCGCTAACAGCAGGAGTTTGCAGCATAGCACTGAAATACTCTATTCATCCATCTGATAAAAGCAGTACAAAGCCATAGATACCTCTGTTACTAGTTCTAAGGCTTTGTGGACTACAATTGTTCAAAGTAATTATCTAAAACTTTTTATGCCATATGTTAAAACTTTATTATAATTATAATCCATATTCTCTGTTTCACATAGTTTATTTACTTATTAAATTTATATGCCACCCATCTCACTTTTCTGATATTTACTGCAAGTTGCATCGAGGAACTCTCCAATCTCATGTTATTATCTTGAAGTAAAAAAATTATGATAATTCTATGTGAGATGAAAAATGTAAGTGGGGTGATATTCATGAAAATATTTGGAAAAACAATTGCAATAGGAGAATTGTAACCGATAGATTCATCTACCCTTATTTGATTCACACATGCTTTATCATCTCTTTTATCATTTAATAACTTTTTTCTGTCTTAAAACCCAGCTACTCAATTCTTTTTGATCTCTATTTTCATATTTTTATTAACATCTTCATCTTCTGATTATTAATCTTAAAACCTGCTAGTTTACCAAATTCTTTTAATTTTTCCATTAATGTCTCCATTAATTAATAATCTCCATTAATAGAATTAATTTCCATTAATTCTATTTAGCAGATCCTTCAGAACCAATACCAAGTCATCAGTAAATGACCTTAATTTATAAATTTCTTTTTTAATATTTAATCTCCAGTCTTCTCCTCTTATCTTATACTGTATCTCTTGGAAATAACTGAGAATTGTTAGAGAGAATTGCATCCTGTCTTCTTCCTTTTTGTATCTCACAAAGTTTTGTTAGATCTTTGTTGACAATTATTTTTACTTTCTTGTGATGTGTAAATCACAAGAATTTATAAAATTCTTTCCAAAATGCATATCTTCCAAAATTTTAAAAATGAAGGCCCAATATCAATTGTCAAAGGCCTTTTCTGCATTTAAGAAAATCATCTTGTTTCTTTCATTATGGTGCTCCAAATAGTCCAAATTGTCTACCATATATTATCCTTTATCTATCTGTTAGGTAAAAACCCACATTGATCATAAATAAATTTTTGTAAAATTATTTTAAACCTCTTATTCAAAAATTATTGTGATCAACTTTTTCAGTAATGACATAGGGCGATAGTTTCTTGTTGAAGTATTAATGCTATATTAACCTCTTTCCAGCTTTCCAAAATCTTTCTCATCTGTAAAACAGAATTCACCATATTTTGTAAAGATTGTCAAGTTCATCATCAAAGAATTTATAGTAAGAAGCCAATAACCCATTTGCTCCAGGCACATTTCCTGTTTTACTTTTTGTAGCTTCAAAAACTTTCCTTACTGCTGTTCATAAGACATTTCTGTATTTGTTCCTTTAAATATTCATCTTTATATAAACTGGAATAATATTGATGAAATACTTTTTGTATAATCACATTATCTTTTATTACAGTATCATCTTCTTGTAATTTCAGTATCATTTTTTCCCTATTTCCTTTTATAATTTATATGCCAACCACTTCCCTGGTTTATTTGCAAACTCAAAATGCTTTCATTTTGCATAATTCATTTTTATTTCCATTTCTCTTAGAGTTAACATAAATAATTGTCACCACAGAAGCTTAGTTTGTTGAGAAACATTTATCTTCTCTGGAAAGTTCTTTAATTGCTCTTCCTTTTATTTCACCCAAAAGAGCTTTTTTTCCCCTTACCTCTTTGTTTTTGAGTTCACTATTATACTGTATAAAACAAATTTTCATTAAAAATTCTGCTTATATCCCAAACCATTCTTGATTGTACCTTTATTAAAATTATTTTCAAAACCTGGGATTCTGGCACATCAGAGAGACTTCTTCATTTTAGCTGTTCACTTCATTTAAATGAGTATTTAAAAGCTTCTCTCAAAATCAAAACTCATCTCTTGTCTATTGAAATTTCACAGCCTATGTCTACAAATCTATGGCTAGAAGTTTGGAATATAATCCATTTTTCATTTCTTTTGTTGCTCTATTATCTTCATGCTCTGCTATTTTCCCTGCAGAATTAGCACAGAAGTCAATTTTCTTTTAACAGTATTTTTTAAAATTCCAAGTTCTTTGTACAGTAATTATTACTGATATTTTTTAATGATGTAAGAGTGAATGTCAACATTATGTAGTCTGATATGAACGTCTGATAACTGCTTAATTAAATCTCTCTCTCTTTCTCATTCTGTGTGTCTTTGTGTGTCTCTGTGTGTGTGTTTGTGCACATAGTGCTATTTAGAATATTTGTGCTCTCTATTCCACCATGAGCTATATAGCATTTACATGTTTAAAAGATAATATCATAGATTTGCAGTAATTTCTCTGTCATGAAAAAAGTATGTGCCAAAATTGCCTTTGAAAGCAATTGCTACAATCTTACTGGCATTTTACCAATACTATTGGTATTGGAACTGCTATCAATACTACCCTTTTACAAATTTTATCCAAATTACAGTGCCACAAAGTTTTCAGATTGTATATTATCTTTGATCTGAAAACAGGGTGCAAATATTCACCTCTTTGCAATTCCAACCGGTGCTATTCACATCATGCGGTGATTGCTACTTTTTTCCAGATTACTTACAAGAGTGAATCATCCAATCAATATGTAAATTATAATATTGGAATGACACATTGCATTGGCAATCAGAATTGACTAAATCATTTGACCCCTTAAAGCAAATGAAGGTATGAAAGCACTGTTTCCTATATTAGACATATGGCAATGCCACCCAATTAAGGATCATGCAGTGAAGAAGATAAAACTACAATATCACATGCCAGTGTTATTTGCATTACATAGCGACATCATAGAGAACAAGTGAGATCAACTGAGAATGTAAAAAGAATGCAATGCAAATGACTAGGTAAACATTAATATATGGACTGACTCCTGTCCCCCAAAACTCCATTTTTTTTAAAAAAAAAGGAAGAGTACCAGCAACAATTATAATAGTTGCTTTTATGAACCAGCCATCAGGATTCTCAGGTGCGTATGTGGCACTCCAATTTAGTAAATCAAAATATTGCACCTAGAATTATGCTTGAGATTAATATAGTTCACAATTACAACACAATCAAAACAAAGGATCTCCACCCCACCCAGTCACTCATTATCTCACCTCGCCCACCTTGGCTGATGCCCAGAGTCATGCCCATGGCATAGCTGCTGCTTCTCTCACTCGCCTCGACCACACAGTCCCACTGTGCATGGCCTACCTTTTCAAGATCGGCCTTGAAAAAGCCTGCCCTCAAAATTGGCAGCATATTGCATGCCTTAACAAGCCTGCTGGTGGCCTCAGTGCACCTTTCCTCCCTGCAGCTCTAATCCTTAAAAAATTTGGGAGGGTTGTGTGCATGGGGCGCTGGGGGAATTGGTGCCTGGAGTGAGAGGGAAGTGCAGGCTGGGCAGGGAAGGGGTACCGAACTTCCAGCGCTTGTGCGGGGAACCCAGACTTGGAGTAGCAGCAATGGTTCATTTGGAGCTTGTTAAGGAGCTCTGCCCCAGCCATGTGTTTTCCAGACCAGGCTGCTTGGAGTGAAAAGCATGCAATATGCTGCTGCTAAGCTCGAGTGTTCCTTGCATGAACGCTGGAAGAAAATTGGCGATGGTCGGCTGCCACTAGAGCTGTGCTTGGAAGAACAGCAGATGG